TTCATATTTATTTCTAAAAAAATTAATTACTTTCATATTTGACCTATTTACAATTGGAGTTATTCTTATTTAAAAAGTCAATGACAGCCACCATCGCTTTAGAAGCCACTTGATCACTATTCATTTAAAATCTTTTGTTTTTCTCCACAATTAGAAAGTTTTTTTTTTTTTTAATAACTAAACAACTCTGAAAACATATCCTTTACCTATTCATAGTTCAAACATATTTTACTTCTCAATAAATAATTATACTTTCTTTATATTGTGATTTGTAATATTTATATAGGTAGCTTAAGATTCCCACCAAACTTAAGAGAATAAAATCTTAACCAATAAGAAAAAAGTAATCAAGCCAAATCCTAACCACAGGATCTAAATGATTTCCTGTTTATGCTTGGGGATCAGGCCATGATCATGCAATCTCTTTTTATATCGAAGAAAATAAAATTAATTAATAATCCAACAAATCAATTGGGGGTTTGGTAACAGAACTATTTTTATCAAAAGCTAACATCACTTAGAAATACATTATTATACATTCTTAATTATGCCCCATAGAGCCATGCTGTATTTTCTTTTTTAAATTCTTTTTTCTTTTTTTCTTTGTAAGTTTAAGTCATATGGGAGAATGCATATTTTTATATGCACTAATTACCAACTTCACCAAAGTCTTTAGAATCCTTGTGGTCCTGCCTCCCCGGGTAAAGTATTGATTAGAGAAGCAATTAAAAAAAATAAAAAGAAATTTAAATAATATTGTATATTATATGGTTGAATTGCTCACGTGGACCTCAATGATTTCTGCTAATTATATTAAATTACTAGTCTATTCTAATGACTAAAGCAACTCATAAAAGACATGCCCACAACTCTAATTAAATATGGATAGAAAAATGATAAATAATCCTGAGAAATGAAATATTGATAAAATAAGTCATATTTTTCAACTGTTTTAAACTATTCAAATTGCAAAAGAAAAAAATTTCTAATGTTAATTGAAAAATAAATGATATTTACGACCCCTAGTTTTTCTATCTAAAAATGGTGGTGCTGTTAAATTGAAAGGTTATATTAACATGCAAATGTTAGCTTGAACTAATTTTAGGTTGAACTATGGTTTTGATTTCAATCCTTTGATGTTTTAATATATTATGTTTTATGTAGGCATGTTTAAAAGTAAATAAGAATCGATGTTATTTGACAACCTGAGCATAGCTCAATTGGTTAATGCACCTATTTTCAATCAAAACGTTTTTTTTTTATTAAAAAAAATCGCCCATACTTTAGTTCTATATGCATTTTTGTGTGGCATCTGGTTTACGTATAACATACATTAATTAAGTTAGAGCTCCTTTTTCAAGTTAGTAAGCTTAGCTTTGGAGCAAATTTTCAGCAAAGAGATACCTTATCCAGGGCTGTTTGGTTGAGCTTGGGGTTACCCTAAAGCTAAGAAACCATTACTTTCTATTACTTATATTCTAACTTTTATATATCGTAATTTGCAACATACATAGACTACTCAATCTTAGGTTTTTATAATCTCGGACGAGTATTATATTTGTTGTCGTTAGCGATAAGATTAGTCCTAGTCCTATTTCTTTTTCTACTTTTCAATCAAAATAATGCTTTAAAACCTTATCGCATCTCATGAGACTCGTTTGTCGTATTTCCACAAATAATTTGTTACATTGGTGATTGGATTGTCGTTACTTCTCAATAAGAGTAGGAATGTCTTGGTAAAGTCAAAACATGAGTTTGATAATGAAAATTATAAAAGTTTATATTGAGACTAATTAGTGGAAGTTGAAACACCCATCACTTTGAAGCAACACTTCTTTTTTTTTTCTTTCTTTTTTTTTTTTGATA